CTCCGGTCGGTGCACAACCAACACCTCCGATGACCCAACCCGCGCCTGAAAAGCAGCCAGACACCACCCAATTCGCACCCTTGCCATACAATCCGGCCGCCCCCGCCGCACCAGAGCCCATCCGACACCGCGAGAAGACACCACCGCCGGTAGACGCCGCGGACGGTACGGGACTTGCAGCGGCGGCGGCAGCAGATCACGGCGTTCCGATGACACCTCCCTCCCAGATCCCAGGAGGCGGAGGAGGCTATGGGCCTCCGCTGCGTCAAGCACTGCCCTACTCTCCCCCCGCAAGCTACGCCTCGCCTCCCCCAAGCGCTGGACTCACGCACTCAGGGTCCTTTTCCTCCCAATCATCCATGCAGAGCCCTCCAGGAGTCCCGTCATACACCCCAGCCTTCCTCGCAGGGGGTGGTGTATCTCCGCCCGCACCCCAGCCAGGAGCAATGTCCTTCGCCCCACCCCCCGTGGATCCAAACGCCCATCTGCACGCGCACGGGCAAAGTCTTTACGGCTCCAATCCCCAGGTCCAGCCCCAAGTTCAATCTCAACCCCAAATCCAGCCTACGTCGCCCCCGCCCCCGATCGGCGGCTATTCCAACTACTCCTACGAGCCAGCCCCGCAGCCCACGGCACCGAACCATGACTATGCCATGCATAAACAACTGTACCGACCCACTGAGGCAGAGGCCAATTCCCATGCTCAGAAGTATGCGCAGAAAGCCGTGCAGAACCCGGGACAGCGCTCGCGAAAGTTCGAGGACGGTGCGTCTCGGGTGGAAAGCAGTGTGAATAGGTTTTTGAAGAAACTTGAGAAGAAGCTCTAGACTGGATGGATATGGTTCAGTATTGAGAGTGTTTTCCGAACGGGTTGCGTAGTAGTTGCCCTGCAAACATGGCGATCCATATCGACCTCAGTAATCTACATTGCAATACTAGTCATCCAGCAATATATAGCATATCAAGATTAAAGATTAAACAGTGGAGTTTTCGAAATTGACAGATATCTTCAAAGCTTGACGCATCTGCCAATCAGAAGATCAAGTCAAGATACGATGCTCAGTATGCACAAGAAGAGAAGAAAGCTGAGAACTAGCACATAGAAGAAAAAAGATCAAGAGGTAAAGTTGAAAATGCACAAGATATGAACCTAGAAATACTCCTACTCAGTACAAATGCCAGTATGGGATGCAATGACGCTAGCCTGAACAGAAACCTGAAAGCAACTCCACCAACTGTATGCTCCAACAAAGCACCGTCGACCCTGATCAAGCAGAAAAACAGAATAATGCCTTTCCCCGTAACCAGTGACAACCACAAAGGCCAGAAAAAGTAAAACACCGCGAGCTAAGCGCACGGGGGAATATGTTGCAAACAACAATCACAGGGGAGCAAGTAATCCAGAAAAGGATTAGAAGAATAGAATGACAAGATTAGGTTGAGATAGCCCAACATTCCATGCAAGACATGAGTTGGGTTTGCCCTCGCCTTGATTAACCGATAGTCAGATTCTCCATCTCAGCGACAACGTCATCCGTCTTTGATTTCGTTTCAGCTGGGATGATTTCGGAGTGCTCGGCCGGCTTTTCCCTTTCAGGTTCCGCTGAAAGTTCGCTCGCCAAGTGTTCCTTTGCTTGAACGGGGGCAGAGCTGGTAATATCCTCCGCTGAAGCTTCGACTGTCTCCGGCACCTCTGTAACAGAGACGGGAACAGCCAATTCCCCAGCCTTTGATTGATCTACATCTGCGGATTGCTCGGCAATTGTTTCCAAGGGCTGTTCAGCCGGTTCATCAACCTCGGGTGAAGCGGACTCTCCAAGCGGCGCTTCTGAAGTGGGAGTAGTGACAGGCTCAATGGAGGCATCGGTGGACTCCTTCTCAGTGTCAGCGGTCGCTGTGGAGGGTTTCTCGACAGGCTTCTCAATATCTTCAGAGACTGGCTTGGGCGCTTGGCCATTGACATTAGCCCCAGGCTTTACTTCTTGCTCTTCCGAAACCTCTTTCAATACTGGGGCAGCCTGTAATTCTTTTCTAGAATCTGGCAGGGCGGAGGAAGCAGGTTGCGCCTTGTCTCTCTGATTCTTCTCTGACTCGGTCTTCTCTGTCGGCGGCCGAGCTGCTCGGATATCGGTCTTGGAGGCGACTGTTCTAGGGGCTCTGGCAGGCTTGGAGCTTCGAGGAGGGCTTTTGATTTCGATTTTGTCATGTACCTTGCTGGCAGAACTTGCGGTTGGACGCATCATTCTAGCGAGGAAGCTATCATCGACCGGCTTGGCGCTTGCGTTGCTAACCCGAGAATGTGGGCGGTCGGTACCTGAATGGGCAGGGAGAGACGGGCGAGATGCTTGCTTGCGAACACTGGCAGCAGTGGGTGTCGTAGCCCGTGACTGACTTGCATTGACCGCCTTCTTCAGAGTGGATGGCTTCCGGGTCAGGCCGGGACCGGACCCTCCTTTGGCAGTGGAGGACAGAGAAGAAGTCGTCTTCGACGATTGTAGGCGAGAGGCCCTGGCCGGTGATTTGGGGCGGGTATTTCTGTCATCGGTCGTGGCTGGCTTGGTGGAGTCGCGCGCGGGCATTGAAGCAGGGATGGGGCGGTTGGCAGTCTTCGCTGTAGTATTCAAAGATGTTCGACTCGGCTTGTGGGTTGCAGTACGAGTAGCTGCAGCGTGGTCATCCTTCGTCGCGGCTGTCTTGGTAGAGTGCGCCGGTCTAGAGGTCCTTTCAGTGCTCGGTTTAGCTGGAGAGGTTGGCGCGCGCGGATTGGCTGGCGATTTGGTAGCAGCGTTAGTCTTGCCAATGTGGACGTTCGAAGGTCGCTTGGTAACTGTTTTTGTCGGCTTCAGCGCTGACTTAGCTGGGGCTGTCTCCGTTGCGGTATGTGGGGCGGACGCCGTCTTCTCCGTCTGGGAGACATCACCAGTGCTGGTTTGGGTTGGTGTTTGTCCCTTAATCAGTGGTTCGGTCGAAGAATTTTTTGGGGGCTGATCAACGCGAGGCTGTTCCGCGGCATTGGAACTGTTGCTCGGAGAAGACGAGGAGTCTGAGCTCTTTAGAGCCGCTTCGAAATCTTCTGAGTTGAAACTTCTCACTCTAGACGGAGGAACCGCACCATCGATAGGACTGCTTGGGCTCCTGAGCCCCGAGACCGGACTTCCTTGAGACGTCCTATCCACAGATATGAAACTTGCGCGAACCTTTGAAAGAGGTCGTGAGGTTCCTGTCTGATCCGACCCTATCGGCGATCGACCACGCGGAGGTGGAGAGGCGGTGCTGTTTTGGTTATTGTTCTCGAATTTGGCCAGCAAGCTTCGCACACCAGGATGCGCCCCTTTGTCCGACATGGTGTTGTAGAGCGACGGGGAGTCGAAGTGCGAAGAGCTAGGTCAGAGAGACATAGACCAAACAACGCGACAGTAGGAATTGAAACTCGATGGCTTGAGCTCTGTCACAACACAGGTGGGATATCCACAGTAGGGCTCGATGAGTTATAAATTTCAGTCTTGTAGGGCTTTGCGAAAAGGCCAGATGGCAGCGAGATCTGAGATGGAGGTTGGAGGAGGGGGCGGGTGGACGTGATATAAACAGACTTCACGGGAGCCAAATCTGAGGGGATAGGACTCGGTGAGGAACGGGTTTTCAATGACTTGGAGACAGATCCAGAGGTCTAAGATCTAACATGGTAGTGATGGCTGATAGATGATGCGAGCTAAGAATGAGTTCATCAATAATGAATGGTAATAAAAGAAAAGGAGAGTCAGAGTCAGAAAGTCGTTCGGGGAAGAAGATGCGGGCAGGGAAACCTGAGGCAGCAGTTTCAGGGGGCGGATCCGCGGCTTCAACTTAAGTAATTGCGGCCCTTTCCTGTGACATTTTATTATTAATTCAAGATTAAAGGACAGTTGAGTACTACTTTTCAGTCTCAAAGAAAAATCAGTCAAGGATCATGACCATGACTCCATGAAGGCATCAACAAGGGACGATAGTTCCAGCCACTATTGAATCGGCCGCTATGTTGTTTACTCCCTACCTTAAAGAGCGACCGGATCTATGGTTGAACGCGGTCGAATGGCGTCATTATCCATCCCTTCCAGGTCTTACTTCTCAACCATTAGAGACGTAGATTGATATCGTTACACGCATTGTAGTTGAGCAGATGCAGCTGACTCAACGAACGATGAGGCTGACTGTGGTTCTGATGTCTTTGATTTACAGAGAAGGATGTTGAACAATTGACTCCAAGTCTCAAATGTAGAAGTTCCAGCGGCTTATCATGAAAGTGCATGAAAGTGTCAGATGATCCACTCAGTAAGGGCTATGCCTGTATATCTCCTTGAACATTATCCAACCTCTATCTACTCCAGCCTCACCATATCCTCTTGCCTAAAAGGTTCGCCTGGAAAAATAACAATCACAGCGCAGAGTCTCAGGACAATTGTACAAGATGGCAAAGTTCTGAACCAGTGACAGCATCACTGTACTCAGAAGCAGGGAGATCACACGGATTGTCTGCAACATAGTAGTTGTCATTTGCTCGACTTGCATATGAGAAGCTCTACCCCCAGGGAAATTCTCCGAGCTGTTAGTATTATTTCCGGTAATCATCATACTGATATACACAACGTAGACGAGGGCAGCTTCCTTTGGAAGAAGGTTGGCTTGTATCCTTCTGTGCTTTGACGGTGTCATGTCGCCTGCCAGCTTCTGAAAGCGCGTCGTGGTCAGAATTTTCAGCAAGTACTGCCACAAATGAACTTTTGGTATCAATCTAAGTCACATCATTGAATTGATGTCTTAGCTCTGAAGAAAAAGATGCCGTACCTAAATAGCAGCCATGATTCCATTTGCCTGTTGATTATAGTCCCGCGGGTCAACATTCTTCCCGCGGTCGCATACTAGTCATACTAATCCCCAGCATTTCCACTCCGATTACGGACTCCGTTAAACGGAACTCTTTCTCGACTGGAAAAGAGTAGTCACACAACACCCAGAATTTCACAATGGCAGCTGCTAGGACTCTTCGCATAGGTCAATTGAATCCTCCATGAGCTTCCGATACCCTTCTTGCAATAACTGACACTTCCCTTCATCAGGTCTCATTCCTGGAGATGGTATCGGACGAGAGGTCATTCCGGTATGTCGCAACTGCGGTACAGCAGGGTAAATTCTGACTCAATGAATGTGAACAGGCCGGTAGACGGGTGTTGGAGTCGCTTCCAGCTTCTCTGAACCTCAAGTTCAGCTTCGTCGACCTCGATGCTGGCTTCGACACCTTCAAGCGGACAGGTACCGCTCTGCCCGACAAAACAGTCGACACGCTGAAGAAGGAGTGTGACGGTGCCCTGTTCGGGGCTGTCAGGTCGGTTGTCCCTATCGCAGGAAACTCCAGATCTTCGTCCTCATAGTCTTTGAATAGCTCCCCCAGCACCAAGGTCGCCGGCTACTCCTCCCCCATTGTCGCTCTCCGCAAGAAGCTGGACCTCTACGCCAATGTGCGTCCTGTCAAGACTACCGCTGGTAGCGGCGGCAAGCCCATTGACCTGGTCATTGTGCGTGAAAATACCGAGGATCTCTACGTGAAGGAAGAGACAACCAAGGATACCCCCAACGGCAAGGTTGCTGAGGCGATCAAGCGGATTTCCGAGCGTGCCTCGTCCCGAATCTCCACCATTGCGGGAGAAATCGCCCTCCGCCGTCAGAAGATCCGTGATGCCGCTGGCAACTCTGCTCTTCGCACCAAGCCAATGGTGACCATTACCCACAAGTCCAACGTTCTGTCGCAGACAGACGGTCTCTTCCGGGAGACCGCCCGCAAGGCTCTCGCCGCGGAGCGCTTTTCCTCTGTTGAGGTGGAGGAGCAGATTGTCGACTCCATGGTCTACAAGCTCTTCCGGCAGCCCGAGTACTACGATGTGATTGTTGCCCCTAACCTGTACGGCGACATTCTGTCCGACGGTGCTGCTGCTCTGGTTGGCAGCTTGGGTCTCGTGCCCAGCGCCAACGTTGGTGATGGTTTCGCTATTGGCGAGCCCTGCCACGGCAGTGCTCCCGACATCGAGGGCAAGGGCATCGCCAACCCCATCGCTACTCTGCGCAGTGTCGCTCTGATGCTCGAGTTTCTGGGTGAGGAGCAGGCCGCTGCCAAGATTTACGGTGCCGTTGACGCCAATCTCGACGAGGGCAAGTTCCTCTCTCCTGACATGGGTGGAAAGGCCACTACTCAGGAGGTTCTGGACGATGTGCTCAAGAGACTGTAAATGGCAGAGGCTCTGACTGGAACAATGTATGTATAGAATTGTAGTCCGTAACCACCAAAAGTCTATTCTCTAGCGATTTAATATATACGACTTGTGGTCAACACCTCGTCAAGCGTATGATACTAGTACAAATCATCACTCAACATCCCCCGCCGACGGTTCCGGCTCCCATTCAAACTTGCCTACTTTTCCCTCATTCTCTTCATGCTTCTTCGTGCTCTCCCGGATCTCCTGCTTAGAGCGCTCCTGGACCTCCGGCTGTTCCTCCTTCTCCAGCAAGATGAGCGTGAACAGCACAACAAAATAGACCTCCCCCGTCTCCCTATTCTTCAAAACATACCGCAAGTCATGATTCTTCTCGTCAATATATTTGGTCGCATGGACCGTCAAGCCAGGAAGCCGCAGTGAGAAATCTAAACTCATCGTCAGCCAGCCCACCAACCCAACCCCATGCTGCAACCAAAGTAAACCAGTAACCAACCATTAAAGACCAGATACGGATTCCCAAAATCCGCTGAGTACAACCTCCCCGGCTCGAAGACAAACTTCTTCCTCTCCTCCTCATTCTGGAACATCTTGCGCCGCTCCGCTACACCCTCCGGAATGCCAGCCTGCGCACGCTCCTCCACCCCAGACCCATCAGCCCCCTCCTCAACAACCACATCATGCACCGTCGGCACCTCATCGTTCTTCGCGATCGTCTCCCCAATCCGGAACTGGTTTAGCGAGGCGATGGCGGGGCTATACAGGTGCGGTTTATCCGCGTACGCGTCGCCGTCCATGGCCGGGTCGATGGTCCATTTGACGAGTTTCAGTGCGGCGTTGAAGCCCGGCGGGAGGCGGTCCCGGATGGGTCTGTCAAAGTCATTGCCGAAGATCAGATCGTTGCCGTTGACGGGTTTCTTGAAGACGATGGCGAAGGAGATGGAGTATTGGTCGTTCTGGTGGAGGGGGTGCGAGAAGTAGGGGTGTGTCTCGGGGGAGTCGTCGGGATAGCCTTATTTCCTGATCGTGAGCCTTCTTTCCACAGGCGCTGCGGAGAGATGGGGTGGTGCTCACCAGTAAAGTTCTGGATCCGAACGCAGAGACTCACTGTCGCAAGGTCGTTGTCAAGTCGTAGTGTCTGGTCCCTATTGACAGGTACGATCTTGTGGGTATCTGGGTTATACTCCGTTCCTGCAGTCACCTTGAGTCGGTACTTGTGAGCTTGGTTCCCGCTAAACATCTTGAATGTACGTTGCTTCTTCCGTATGAAATCCTGCTATTACACTTCAAGGGTTCACTGTTAATAAGTAAAAGGACAGATAAGCCGGCTTTAGATCTCGAAGCGCTTTTATATGGCTGTGCAAGTCCCAGGAGCATGTTCATCCCTGACATTCTTGGTTCTACCAAAGCTGGTTGTTCCTGATGGATGAACGCCCACCGACGTCATCCGCTAAACGAAATCCGCGATAAGCTTGCCAACCTTATCTATTTTTACCTCAAGCTAGATATGAACAAACAACATCGACCAGGACGGTTTATACTTGCAATATATATCTAAGTTTCCAATCGGACAATACTCCCAATGATAGCCAAGCATTTAGCGTACACAAGCTATTCAAACCAACCTGTAACAGGGATCGAATCGCAATAGCAAGTATCAGCCAGCCAACATATAATGATACAAAAGAGCATCCCAGCCCTCATAGTTCCGCTGGATCGGACGGCAGAAGATTAACGCCCATCGGGAGATCAGCCCCAGCCCCGTTCTCGACTTCATTAATAATGTCTTCCTCGGTCAAAATGCCAATACCGCTGTCAAGCCGCCTTCTATTCTTACCCCTCCCAACCTCCACATCGACGAACCTGGTCATACTGACTGGAGTGATCGGCTCGCTTGGAAGAGGAATGCCGTCTGATTGAAGATCATCTGACTTCATCTCCCAGTTTGCGGCACGGATCTTCGCCTTTCGTCGCTCTGAATTGACGGTTTCTTTCATGAAAGCAAATGACCGAGCTTGATCCGCAGCCCATCTGTCCAGCAGGTTGTCTCTGGCCTCCATTTCTAGTCGCAGCTGCTCTTGCAGCCCTATATTGCCTCGATGCAGCTTTTCTGCTTCTGACTTCGCAGCCTCAAGCGCGGTGGTGAGCTCCGAGACCCGGACATTCAGAAGGCCGATGTCATTTTCATGATGTTCGAGTTGCTCGGCTAGCTTTTGTTCTAAGCTTTCGATAGCTTCCCGTCGCTCCATTTCAATCGACTCTACCTTCGCAGTAAGGTCGCACGCGCGGATTTGGTTCGTCTCCACTGTCCCTTCGAGTTGACGAATCCGTTCTTCCAGCTCAGCAACAGCAGACTCGGCCGCAGAACGTGACCTTTTCTCGTGATCCAATCTCTCCTCAAGTTCGGACACATGCTGGCTGTGCTGCTCTTGGGAAGCGGTCCTGTCCGCCTCAAGTTGATTCACAAGGATCTCAAGCCCTTTCACCTCTTCACAATATTTGCTAAGCGCTGCATTCAGCCGGTCAATGCTAACAACTTGTTCTTCTCCTTCGCGTTCGAGCTCCTGCATTCGCATTCTCGTATGCAGCATGTCGCTGGCAGAAGCTGCCCTCGACTCTTCCAGATCCTGAATCTTCTTTGTTGCGATCTCGTACCGAGTCAAAAGGTTGTCGAATTGGCCACGCAGGGCCTTTTCGCGACTTAGCGAGCCCTGGTGGGAATGACGCTCCTTCTCCAAGTCCTTTACCAACAGCTCCACCCGGTTGACCAGCGCGGCCAATGTGGCACTTCCATCTTCCAGACCCGCATTGGCTGTCTCTCCAGGTAGTGCGCGCTCAAGACCGAGACGCGCCGAACGGAAGCGATGGCGCATCTCAGAAATGATGTCCTTCACCGTAGTACCGGAAAACCCCATATTTGAAAGTTCTTCCGCGGCTGAACTCAGAGCACCAACAGCGTCTGAGGCACGACTGACGGCCTCGGTGAGCGCAGGAACAAGTTGAGCTAGGAAATCCGGAGGCGGAGAGGATCGGCTGAGGTGCTGGCCAAGAGATGTGCCATCAAATGCAGAAGACTGAGCGCGAATTGCGTCGAACAGGTCCTTTTTCTCTTTCCTTGCAGTTTCCAGGTCGAGTGAGAGTGTGCGTATCTCTGCTTCTTGGTCCTCATCAGGCAAGTGAGCTTGGGTACCAACGTCGGTAGCTGTATTATGAGTGTGCAGGATTGAAAGATTGTCCGGGGATGGGAAATGACTCCTATCTAAACCACGGATGACAGGCGAGTGGGACATAAGGATAGTATCGCCTTCGAATGCACTGTCATTGATGATGATTGTGTCAGTTGTGCTGAAGGAATCCTGTTCATCTTCATTTTGGATCGAGGAGAATGAGATCTTCTCCCTAAGAATACCGTTTTCGGTCTCCAGACGTTCGATTCTGGTCCGTGGTGACATGGTCGAGGGTTCATCATCCATGTGCCTGACTTGACTCTCATTTTGGGTAGTTTTGGCCGACTCCAGCTCCTGCTTCAACGCATCCCTTTCGCGCAGCAAGGACTGGATGGTCTTTTCGTAGTAAGCAGTCTCACGTTTCTCGCGCTCTATGTGATTGATCTCGTCACTCAAACCTACACGGCATAGTCGTCGCTTCGTCCGAGGATCCAGAATCTGCCGCAAGGGCGTAAACTGCACCACTTGTTCCGAAGTTGACGGGTCCTGCAGGTAGCGGGACCGTGCTAGAGGAGCAGAGCGCCGCCGCATGCGGCGGCTCGGGCTGCAGGTAATACGGTCTGCATCTTCTTGATCCTCAAACGAGGTACGAAGGAGCGCGGGTGTCAATCCCGTTGAATAATCGTGTTCCTGGACTCGAGGGCCTGGATCCGAGAAGCGCACCCTTTTGCTCGGTCTTTGGGGTGTCTTGCAGGTTGATGAAGGTACCCTTTCAGGGACCTTCTCAGAGGACATAGCATCCTCAAACTCACTTTTCCTCTTGCACGAGAAGGGAGGACGAGTGTCAGAGAGGGGAACGGAGGTCTTCCGACTTTGGCTGCGAGTCACTCTGGCAGCCATTCTGCACTTGCAGGTCCGATAGTAGAAATAGTGAGGTAAACAGGACGTCTATCTGAAAATTGACGGATTTCTTCGAAAAGAACTGAAATGATGTTAAAAATGTCCAAAAGTGATGATACAGCTTACTCCGACTTCAGAAGGATGACTCGGGGAGTATCTTATCTCCCAGTAGGTAAACAAACAAACAACGCCTTCATCTGAGACAGCACTTGGAGAGAAGTATGAGACAAGTCAGCGAGGGGTTATATGTAACTCATCCAAAGATGGAAGGCACAGGCAGCAACCCTCACTGGCGCCTTCCCTACGCGTCGGTATGGATCCATATTTCCCAATCTAGAAGAAGTAAACAACCCGTCAGGTGACTTGGAGCCTAGAATTTGCCTCCCTATATCCAATCCGAATCATGTCTTAGCCGTTCATTATGAGCACTGCTTTACCTTTACTTGTCATTATTGTCCGTCGGGTGGAGTGACCGTGTCACGATTACCTCTAGTGCTGGTAGAGTCAAGGCAACCATAGATCACGAGTCGGAGCTGAACTAGAAAATCCAGTCCACAGTCCTGCATACCTTATCGCCTTATCGAGTTCTTGTTATCTTATCGGTGACACCAACTGGCCAACAACGCAGTGATCAACAGATCAACACCAGCGTCTCCCCGCACCAGTCCCGGTACAGGGAAAGCGTTTGGATATCGCATGCATCACGGTATTTCGAGAAGAAGAACTCTCCCTTGCTGATCTACCCCGCTAACGGCAGTTGTATATCGACGCAATTCGTCTTGATCCCATCAAATACTCTACCAGCTACTGCACGAATGATGTCATTCGTCGATTCCCTGGAAGCTGAAATGCCATGCCTGCCATATTACTAGTTTATTACCCCTCATCTATCTTTATCTCGGGACCATAGTTGATCCTATAATTTGTCTATACTTTCGTCCGGGCACG